TATTTGTAAATCCATAATAATCACATTACAGGAAGATATTTTTTCTGTTGAACTGTAATCAGGAGGAGACATTCGGCTTGTTCTGATGTTGACGTGTTTTCCACTCATTTTGTGTGTGTAGTTTAGAGCTGCAGGATAGCTTGCAAACCAAACCTGTTCAGGGCTTAACTGCTCCTAAGCAAGACCAGGCACAATTGTAAAGAGTGCAAAAAAGAAAAGGGGACACCCTGTAATGGCTAAATTGGATCCAGAGAGTAAACTAGCAGGGGGTAAAGTGGTAGTTTTACTACCAAGGCTGCAGGTGCAACAGCAGCTTTCTTACTGACCCCGGAATCACAGCCGCACATGCTGGCATTCCCACAGATCTCTCACTCCCCCCCCCAGATGCCTTAAAGACCTCTCTCAAGCGGGAGGAACATAATCTCCCTTTATGAGTGAAGTTTATACTCCTTCATCCTCTCTTCCTTCCACTCTGCCTGGTCAGACACTGGAGAATTTGGATGATTGGATTATGCCAATCTGCAGACCCGCTCTACACGTTTTCTGTCAACAGCACTATTTAGTTCTGCCTAATTATTGATTCTCCTCTTCCCTAAGCCAAGTGTTCAGATACAGGAAATTAAACATTGGGTTTGGAAAGGAAACAAAATCAGCAAAGGTTTATGTTTGAATTTGTCGTACGCAAGTTAAACATTGGACAGTAGGGATGAAAAGTGGTTTTGTCGCTGTGGTTGGAAGGGTTTGTTGTTGTATATTTTCATATTCGGCAGTTAAATCCCACAAACCTGTGTCATTTCAAGTTCGCTCCTAATTTTCTAACTCCCTGCAAAGTTGTTGTGTTTTTTTCCCCCTGTGAAATTGTTGTTTTAAATTGTAGCTGCCTGTGAAAGGTCACCGTTCCATATAGCCTGGTCCCTGGTTCTTTAGGGGACGACCCTTTGGATGAGAAACACTTTCAGGTTGTAAAAGTGGGGTTTTAATCCAAGAATGATTCATTTCCCTTATCGTGTGGCTTTATTGCCATTATTATGGCTTTATTCATCATTCGTTGGCTGTTTCAAAACGACTTTCTCCTGCTTTTGTAAACAATAATATAATAACACCAACATGTGACTCAGTATTTTTTTCATGTGTTTTATGTTTCTCTGTCGGCTGACATTTTTTTTTCAGATGGAAAATTATTACTAGCATTGTACAACCAAAAAAAAAAAAAAATCAATATATGAAACTTTAAAAAACATTTAAATAAAAAAGAAAAGTTTTGAAAGTACAGCTGTCTTCTGAAATTGTATTTTTTTGTATTTTTTCTTTATTACCCATCCATTGTTTTTCAACTGTCCTTTCTTTCATATTTTTCAGCAAAATTATTATTTATTTTAAAAAAAAGAAAATAAGAAAACTGCGAACCATGCAGGCATCGGTAAACTTATGCAACCTATGGTAGAATAAAAACATCTTCACATTTGCATACATGCACCTTTAGCAAAACCTGTGGGATATCAACAGGTTTCTACATTTTATTTATTTTTTCGATATAGGAACAGCAAAGGCTAAAATATGTCATTCATCTTTAACATCCAATATATTTATGTCTTAAGTGTATTTGTTAAAAGGCAGGTTGATATTTTCTAATGCCTGCTGCTTCAGTATATAAGTTATTCTGGAGTTAACAGCATTTGTACAACAGTTGGAGCCGTAAATTTCCTCCACTGGAATGCAAGGCATTTTTTAGTGTTCTGCAAGCTTAAGTCTGTTAGTTTTATATTGCTAGAAACAGTGGGAAAGTCCACCTCTGCTGTCTGTATATTTTCTACATACATCCAGGATAATTGTGTTATATCTCTTAATTCCACAGGAGTTACGTATAATCTCCTCAATCGTTTGTACTGTATTAATTTTAATCTAGCCTTTGTGGTTTTAGAGTAAGCTTCAGCATTAGCTTTTTTCCCCAATGATAATCAATTCTCTTTTATCATCATTTCTTACAGGATAGACTTCAGTGGTTTTGTTGTTATGTTATTTGGTTTCTTTAAAATAAAGCTTCTCAATTGGAGAAACTTAACAAAAGTTTTTTTCTGTAAATTAAATCTGGATTGTAGTTTTGGATTGGAGTCTTTTAGGTATAAATCTTAGATCTTTTTTTAATCCATTTTAATGCCATGGTATAAATGGGGATCTACTCTATGTTACTCTATACTGATCTTTATTAAGAAACTGAATCGTTTCCTTTGAATAGTTTTTTGTTTTTGAGCTAAATCTTTAACAACTGTTTCACTTCGGCATTATTATTTTTTTTTTGTGAGTTTATTTTTTGTTTATCGAATACAAGAATAGAGGAAAATGTCATCTTGGCTCAGGCAATTCCATCTCCGTCCCTTGAGGTAGATTTGCATTAGAAAAGTAGAGCATGATACTCCTCAGTTGAGCAACCCAGGAGTACAACTTGAAATCAACCTGAATTCTGATCAATCTGTTCAGAAGTTTTATGATTTTAATTTAATATAATTTTATATTTAGCTATTTAAATGAATAATTCATTAAAAGCTCTACGTATCTAAAAACCTTGAATACTGATTTGCACCATGTTGGTTTTTTTATTTTTATTTTTGCAAGTTGATGGCATCAAACTTGCTTATGATCCGTATGAAGCTGAGAAATAATGCTCTTCAAGCCATTTAAGAAAATTTTAATATACTTTGCAATAGTATTAAACAGGCATTACAATAGTCCAGAAAATAAAAAGCAGGAATTTTTAATTCCACTATATCTGTGTAAACAAAAATTTTGAACCATGCAAGTAAAAATAGTATAACGGTGAAGAACACATGTTGATTAAGGCAGCAGCAGGCAATCAGTGTTCAGATGATGTGAGGAGCTTCTTCAGATTAGAGCTGCTTCTAACCGACATTTATAAAGTTTTTGTTTCTGCACATTGTCAATCACAGGGACAACCAACCTTTGACTTTAAAAGCAATTTTCCATAGAAATGCTGCCATTGAATAATACTCTGCTCCATCCTCTCCGTCCGCGTTCAATGCTGCTGAAAACCCGCCACATTATGGCTCCTCAGCCAATCAGTGTCACTTACATTTACTGTTGCACCAATACTGATACCAGTATCGGGCGGGGCCCCGATCCTGCACTAAAATGGTGGTATTGGTATCGGCGAATACCAACAAATAGGGCACCGATACCATTTTGAGATTTATTCAACTATTGTCACCCATTCCAGGTAGGCAATAAAATATCTACTGGATTCACTTTGTTTTAGTCTTTTTCCTGATTCACAAAGGTAGGAAGCAGCTTGACAAAGCCATGATGGCAATTATTTTACCTCCAAGTAGTATGCAGTTCTTCAAATACACACATAATATATAATAACAATAATTGTCTTGATGCCAAAAAGAGCCCAACCGATTTTACTTTCACAAGTAGAGCAGTATGGCTATCGCTATAGTGTTCCGTTTGATTTATACATATAAATAGCTTTATTATAATTATGCAGGGAGTTTTACAAATTATACTGTATGGACACTGCAATGTAGGTAGAACAGGAAAGAAAAAACAGAAAAAAAAACGAGAAAAGATGAAAGAAAGAGGAGATAAAAGGGGTATAATGATAAAACATTTTCCATCTGCTTCATCACCTGCAAAGAGATGTAAAAAGAACAGCAAAACCAACGGATATAGTATAAGAGATACAATAAAGTAACACTTAGATACTATCGCTGAAGTATAAGTAGTATTTAATCTGACATGTATTCTGTGTTACCTGAAGACCTCTCATGAATTATAAACCAAATACCTCAAAGTGAATCAACTTTTGGTAAATGTGAATCAATGTTACGATCAATCTAGTTGGATTGTTAATCATTTAATTGATGTACAGTGCGGAGCTCTGTATTCCCTGACCTCTGTAACCCAACAATGATGACCAGACACCCCTGGATTAATCACAGCCACCTAAAGTTATGGTGGAATTGAGCCTATTGTAATATTTTCTTAATCTCAATATATTATCCAGCACTTGTGCAACTTTTTCTCTTTGTCTTCAAAAATTAAAATAGTATTAATATTTATAATAAAGTAATTTTTTAAATCTTATTTGTTTTAAGGTTATGTGCAGAGTCTAATCAGACGTGTGGTGAACAACGTGAACATTGTGGTGAACAACCTGATTCTGAAATACGTTGAAGACGACATCGTGCTCTCGGTCAACATCACCTCAGCAGAGTGCTACACTGTGGACGACATCTGGGAGAGGGCTTTCATGGACATAACTGGTGAGCAGGGAGGTGACACACGGGATAATGTGAAACCAGCTGAGAGGAAAAGACTCAATTCATTCATCACAGATGGGGATTCAGAAAAAGGATGGCGACGCCTTTAAATATAATATAAAGTAACGGTTACTTTTATTTATTAGGTCAGAAAGAAGAACCTAACCTGCTGAATCCTGTAGTCCTATTAAACCAGTTCTACAAAATGACACACAAAGTTTATCTAATTAAGAAAAAGAAAAAAACAACAACAACCTGTGTTCATTATGAGTGTCTAAAATTTATAGAATCATGCAACAACAGGCCAAAAAAATTCTCAAAATAACATAACTTCATTTTTGTAGGTTAAGTGTAAAGAGTTAAATACTTTTGTTTTGAATGACTCAACATCCAAACTGGGTTTCATCCTCCATCGAGTTGATCTAATTTATTACTGTAGCCTGAATCTTACTTACTTTTATTTACTGTTATTTAAGTTTTAGCCGTTGTAAGGTTTTTACTGTAAAGCAGCAACAATTGTCTTATTAAAGGAGTTTTTAGGACACAGGAATTGTTTTTTTCCATGATGATGGCAAATATAAAATGGCTCAAAGCCTTTATAAGGTGGATAAACTCTAAGCCAATATAGGGACATGTCACTGTTGATGTTTTGTAATAGAAAATCTCTACCTTCCTATTCATTACATGAAGAATGATGAAGTCACACTGTAAAGACTGCGAACGTAACAAAAGGTAGACAGTAACACTAATATGTTGTAATTAGTTTTAAATGTAAAAAAAAAAATCTAGATTCATTTTAGCTTTATATGCAGCTCTTGCTATATAAGAAATAAATATATAAGATAAAATAACAATAAACAAATAATGATACAATAATAACAGTAAAAATAATTAAAAATGTCAGGTATGTCGGTTTACTATTTTTAAATTTTTCTGGGGCAATTTGACTTTTGGAAAAAAAATTTCTTACAAAATTTCAAAATCAGCATTTTATTTAACTAAATTATGATTTAGGAAATTCTTATTTATTAGAACTTTTCTCCATTTTTTTGTTATTTGAATTACTCTAGTGAATTTATTACCTAATGGGAGGCTATATAAACCTTTAAACACTATTCTATATTTACTCCCTCTTTTGATTATCAGTTAAACAAAAATATTTCTGTTTCACTTAAGAATTATATCATGTGTTAACTTTGGATTCTGTTTTGTTTTTGTTTTTTTCCCTCCATAGCCCCAGAGCTGGTCCTAAGAAAAGTGATAAACTTTGCTGACTGTACTGTGTGCTTGGATAAGAGGAACGCCAGCGGGAAGATCGAGTTTTACCAGGATCCTCTGTTGTATAAATGCTCCTTCAGAACCCGCCTCCATTTCACGTACGACAGCATCAGCTCCAAGATCCCGGCTGTCATCAAAGTGAGCAGCTTCAATTGGTTCCAACAGAAAACTTGATAAAGATCAGATTTTTATGGAGATTTATTCAGATTAATTTCATCTGTATATTACTGTTGAATTGATGTATATGAAATGCTTTTAAGGGCTAAAATGATATAAATTAGGATCCATAAATAATTTGATCATTTTGTAAACTTTTCTAAAATTAAAAGGTTTCAGGCAAACTTGAAAAATTTTTTCCCTCAAGTTTGAATCAGTGTTTACCTACTAAGTTGTTTCAATGGGAATTTAATGTGAACTGATATTAGGGAAATACTAACATTCATTAATAAAACGTAGGCTGAATTATAACTCCTCAGCACGGCCTATTTCTTCTCCCAACTTCAGTCCTTTAAATGTTTTGTTTTTTCTCTATCTTCTAACTTTATACGTGTCTATAACTATGAGGAATATATATGCATGAACATGTCTTTCCTTTAAATACTTTATGAGTTAAATCTGACCATGCCGATGGTGGGAATATATTTTTAGTCCCTTTCTGGTTTTGCAGGTTTTGCAAACTTAAAATTTGAATCAAATCTTCAATCGGTGAGGTGTGAATTGATTAACTGCCATGGAAAATGTTACTTAGATGTTTTGGGTAATATTCTGTGCTTATAACAGTATAGTGTGTATGAAATTATCATTTTGTTGTTTGTTTTTGCTCCATAGGCTGTATTTAGTTTCCCAGACTAACTATCGTCTATTTTTCTTCAGATTCACACAATGGTGGAGAGCCTGAAGTTATCCATCACTGATCAGCAGCTGCCCATGTTTATCCGAATCTTAGAGCTGATTATTGCTCTTTACTACGGAGAGATAGGAGGGCACAAAGAGAGCGAGGCGGAGGAGGGCAGCGGTCAGTTAAGGGAAGGCGGAGCAAGTTCTCCCGGTGAGTAAAAGATAGAAATGAGATTTCTTTTCCAGAGTAAGTTTTGTTTTTTCTGGAATGTGGGTTTCAGAAATATAATCGTATCCACATATGAAATGAAAAATCTTTCACAAAAAAGGGTTTTTCGAGTAGTTATTTATAACTTTGTAAAAAAGTTATTTAAACTTTTTTTTATAATTTTTTTTTACTGATTTTTTATCTTTTCATAAACATTTGTTTCTTATTTCCCTTTTTCGGATTGAGTTTTAGAAATTGCATTTTTAAAATTGGCTTTTGTAGATGACGTTCTCCACAGTGGGAGCCAAATCCAAATACTTGGTCTTGACCAACTAAAAATGTTTAAAAAAATTGCAATTTTGAAAGGAATAAAATATTTATAAATAGAATAAATATTTGAAAACCGCAAAGTGACTGTCAATTTCTCAAACTCATTTTTCAAGATTTTATTTCTAGATTCCTTTTCTTTTTTTATATTTCGATTTGCAAAACACATTCTTAGCTTGCAACAACAATGGAACAAAATTCCTTCCATATAATCTCCCCTTTGCTATAAAACTTCTATTAAAATTAGATTTTTTTTTTCTGCGATCTCTATCCACTACCTATTCAGTAGTTTTGTCCGTTGATAAGCTGCTGCTGTTGTTTAGCAGGACTTTCACTATGATTTCCCTCTGTTTAATTTTCTAACAACTACATGAAGCCTTGTTTGTGAACTTTGTCAGGCTCAGTCCCCTCCAAGATAACTATTGTAGAAGGTAGAAAGTGAAGAAAGGGATGTCTAAATATTCTGTGTATACAGATATGCTGCTCATATCCAACATCCAGGCCAAAGGCGTCATTATTGGCTTCAGTAAATCTACTCGATAGTAACAATTTAACAACAGAAGACGACAGATTTCACCATTATTAGCAGGATTTTATAAATATTTAATAAAAAGGGGAAGAGTAGAAATAAAAGTCTAGATGTTTTACGTGGTAACATTCTTAAAATGCTGCTCATTATGATTTTTTTGCCACCTAAGTCTACCAGGTTTTGTCTGAAGCATTTTTTTTTCAACATTCTTCCTTCAAAGGATTTCCAGCTGTTTGAGATTTTTCTTTTTTTCGGTCACCTTGCGCGAGCTGCTCTTTTGGGATATATGATCTCTGTTGAGGGCGACCGGCTTAAAAGATTATTGAAAAACTTCCCTTTTGCCTCTTTGGAATTTTTGGTGGGGGGGATTTTTTTTAAAGTTATCATTCAAGCACGAACTAAAGCATTTCACCCAAAGCCCTGCCTGCTCTCCTCTGGAAACATCTAGTTTTGTTTCCAGAATGTGCTCTGATGT